CATTCTTCTTTTACTAGTTGTGTTAGGGTTACACATTCGAGTTTAACCATAGCCATTTTGTAGGATGCTATAAAAGGGCTTTGAATGTCAACGGGGTCTAGTCCAGTAGAAAAGAGTTTTGACTTACTGATTAATGGTCTCAGATTTGAACTTTCATGATACATTGACGGTGTGCGTGAGAGAAATTCTCTCCCATTTTCTAACTTCGAAAAGAAAAAGTTTTGAATTTTGAACATATATAAAGGTGGGTTGAGTTCAATTATGCAAATGTTGGTCCAGGCCAATGATATTATAGAGTAGGCAAACCAACATCTCATGTCCCCTTCTCCATTTTTAGCTGCAAAACTAATATAAATGACAAATCAGGAACATCAACCGTGAATGAATCAACGTTTGCCCAACATACTTTTGAAATCTAAAAGTGGTGACGTGATATGTTTGCTTACAACTAGTTCTATTAAGAAAACAACAATTATTTATGGGCAACACGACAAGATAGTGTGGATTCAAACGGGGGCCAAGTGACTTGCTGAAGGAGCTAAAACATGTAGAATTCAAGCCCAAGCCCAAGTTCTTAAATTAGTGAGTGTATTGCACTATTTACACGCATTGTTTTTCAGTGATAAGAATCGTCTAGTTTTTAGATATTCCTTTAAAATTAACTCTGGGAAAAAAAAAATCACTTGAATCCCTTAAAGATGGTTATTATTTTAGTATTTTCTTGGAGCATTGTGTTAGTCTATTTTGTTGCTCACAATTAGATCACTTAATGGTTTTCAATTTGTCTAATTTTTTGCAAGAATAATCTATGACTGAAGACTTCAAAAATATAAGAAATTTTTGTATGTTCCGGGTACACCAACTGGTGTATCATCCAATATACGTAGGACATGTGGAAATATTTTATTTTTATTTTAAAAAAGCATTGCAGTAAGTTAGAGAATCCAAATCACATGTCTTATGTATATTGAATTTGAGGTTACCATTTAGCCCTTGAGCCCATGGGCTGATGGAGGCCCACCCGACCCATTGAGAAAAAGCCCAACTCGTTATTTAATGGGCTAGGTTTGGGTTAGGGTGTTTAAAGCTCGACCTGGCCCATTTGAGCCCATAAAAACCTAACTCGGCTCTCCCATAAAAGCTCGGCCCGCAAGCCCATGTATATAACCCATTCCTCTGTGCACCAAAGAGAGGCATTATGTCTGTATTAGAGGTGTCAAACGGGACGGGCCGGCCCAACACGGCACGAGCCCAGCCTGTTTAAATGAGGCATGGCACGGCACGAGTACGAATAGTAATGGGCCGTGCTCGGCATGGCACGAAAACTTGGGCCGGGCCGGGATAAAAAATGAGGTCTAATGGATCGGGCTGGGCTTGGCTCGAGCCCGCTTCAAGCACGGCACGAGCCCAAACCTGCTTTAAGCACGGCCCACTTAACTTTTTTTTTCTTTCTCAAATGTCAAAATGCAAAAATTTGACATCTAATATCGTTGTTTATATGGTTTATTTATTTATTTTTTATAATCATAAACATATATTTGATGTCTTTCATTTTAGGGAAATTTTTTGGATCCTTAATTAATTAAACATATCAACTAAAAATTAATTTAATAATATTGAACTTGATATCTAATCAGTATATATGACATATACGCTTCTCTTATAATCAAAGCAAGACATTTCTTCACATATAAAATAATAAGTTGTTTAAAGATGAAAAGTTGAAGTGGACTTTGTGGAGTTGTACACTTTTTGCCCTCCGCCTTTTATATTGTTTGGATGTTTGATTGATTAATGTTTTCAAATAATTCATCATTTCTTGCCTCTAATTATATTTTTAATGTTTATAATTTGAATTATCAAGTGAAAAAACTTCAAATTAAATGGGTTGGTTCTTGGGCCCGAGTATGGCACGAGCACGAGCAAGGCACGAGCACGGCCCGGCCCGTTTCAATGTGGACATGGGCTTTGGGCCGGGCCGAGATCAATGATTTTACTAAATGGGCCGATACGGCACAGCCCGATAAATTAAATGGGCCGGCCCGGCACGACACAAAAACTTTACAAGCACGAGTTTAAATAGGACTGGCCGGCCCAGCACGGCCCGTTTGACACCTGTAGTTTGTATGACCCAAAAATGGAGAGAGGCAGTACCTATAAAAACAAACTTGTGAGTAATTGATATTTATTCCTTCATTTCCCCCCTTTCTCTCAACAACACAGTGTTGGCCGTGTTTACATGACAACTGCATAACATTTCTTGTTTTTAGCTTTTGTTGTTACAATTTTTTTTTCTTTTTTTTTCGTTCTTCCTTTGGATAAAGGCTTTTTATAATGTCCCAAGGCAGTGAGATACTACTTTTGCTTTCCCCCAATAGATTAGTTCCATGCAACAATTACGAGCAGGTTTCTACAAGTGTCCTGCCATAAGATAGTGTTGAAGACCACCTTGATTGGAACTGAGGGGATACATGAAATTAGCTATGGTTTAATTGGAGTAGCCTATTATCATATTAGATTATCGATTGCCAGTCCTTATGGCTTCTTAGGCTTCCTTTGTCGATCCAGAATCTCACTGGGATGAATCTCTCTCTTGCTAATTTAATTAGATCAAAATCTGTATGATTCTGTTCACAGTATTTGACTGGCAATTTTTTTTATTTTTATAATGATAAATCTTTGGAGATGCAATAAGAGAGGATACAAATTGACTCAACTTCAAATTCAAAACCTTAAACGTGTGAAACATTGGCAAAAGGGGAAACAAAAACATAGAAAAACAAGGATACATATAAAAAGAGAGGGAGAAAAAAAGAGAAGAAAGAGGAAAAGAACAAGAGAAAAATTACCTTGGTTGTAAGTTGTAATAGCAAGCTCATTTTGGCCTGACCCCGTTATTTTCTTTCTCCAACTTAAAGGCTAGTCCAATCCGGTCCAAGTTCATAAAATTTGGATAAGATTAGCCTGGCCTGGCCCATTGACGACCTTTATTGGATGGAACACCAACTAGCTAGTGTACCTAGAACATGCAAAAATTATTTGAAAAATAGACGGTTTGGATTCTTGAAAAAAAATTGGAATTGGACCTCAAAATGTCTCTTAAAAGAAGGGACTGATATACAGTACTATTCAATTGAGGGATCCCTATATATACTAGCCGAGCATTTGCCAATTGGAATTTTGTTTTAATCTTCAAAATTGAGTTTTTTTTTTATCTTCAACATTTTTTTGAGGCGGTTGTCTCCTAATTTTATGGGTAAGTCAAATAATGCTCTTTTCTTTTAATTTTTTTTAGTTAAATTTAAACATTTTGTAGATGTACTAATTTCACCTTATTTGATAAAATATTTTTCGTTTTAACATTTCCATTAACCAAGGTTAGTATGGGGATTTTGAATAGCATTATATCTTTATATATATATATATATATATTGAAAAATAGACGATTTGGATCGTTGAAAGAAAACTTTATTTATATATATAAAACAAAATGTAGAGAATGGTGAAACATTTATCATACCAGAAAATGCCCTTGGTTAATTCAAACATTAAGAATTGAAATTATTAATTAAATGAGGATAATATGGTAAATTCACATTTTTCCATATTAACAAAATTAAAATTAAAAACAAAATCAGATAATAGATCCTACTTTTATGAAACATAACTATCCATATTATATTTTCTTAATTCTAAAAGTAAAATAAAAAAGAAAAAAGAAAACCAATTGGCACATGCGTGGGCTAGTATATATAAAGGCAGATGTGTCAAACCGTGAAACATTCAAAAACTCTTAAAATACCCATGGTTAACAAAGGGGACTCACTAGTATAGTATCCGTATAGTGTGTGTGAGTTTAGTATGTTATCGTCTCACTCAATAGGAAGGGTCCTAACAAAAAAAATAAATTATAATGAGGGTTGAATAGTGAAAAATTAACTTGCTTAATTACAATTTTAAAAAAAAAATCAACATCAATAAATTTTTTTAGAAGTATAAGTATCGTATGCATTCCTCTCTTTTTATTTTTAAAATTTTTTTTTATAAATTTTTTTTATGTATCTATATTGGAAATATTTATATATCTGTAAAAAGTCATTTTTAAATGAAATGTAAATACAAAAGATAAGGCAAACAAAAGGCCAAATTGCCAAAATGTTAAAAAAAAGTTTCTGGTTTAGGGACCATTTGGGATTGCTAGGGAGAACTTTTGCTACAAGTGCTTTTATTAGAAGCACAAGAACAAAAAGCCAAGTGGTATTTTTTGAAAAACACTCACTTTGGAAGTGCTTTAGAACCCCTAAGCATTAATTATTTTTGTTAATCACTATCATAAGCGTTTTTTGTTATTTGAAAGCATTTTTAGCATTTTAAAAAACATTATCAAATATGCCCATAGTAAGAAATTTGGACAACTTCTGAATTTCAAATCGTCACCAGTGTTTAAACATAATTCATTTTGCTGACATGAATTTGACGTTGGATTTGGTGGGTCAAAGCTTCAAACGATTACATCTTCTCATTTGTTTACTAGAAAAATACTTTACTATGGTTATATTATAGGATTTGTTGGGGTTTTTTTGGTGTTAAGTATGTTAGCATAGGGTTTGGTATGGTTTAAGGGGACTGCAGGCTTAAGTTTTAGGGGTATAGGATTGAGGATACAGAAAGTCTTGTCCTAAATTTTAGCACCCAACCCTAAAGTAATGCGTATAGGAGGCTAGTTATTGGCCGCTAAAAAAGAGCTTACTTATATCCAGTGGCGGAGCCAGGAATCATACCACAATGGGTCATAGTGTAAAAGTCCAAATAAAAATTTAGGATTGAAAAACATATTGAAAATGAAATCATAGTACTTTCATTCATAATTCATAACGGAAATAATATTACAAGCTATAATTGTCCACGACGAGGTTTCATATTTTGAAAACGAAGCATTATAGCTTCATTTTCAATACAAGCAAAAATATCTCTCTCAATATAAACAAGCAAGCTATCACTCAACCATTGATCTCCCATTTTGTTCCTAAGTGGACCCTTAACAATATTCATGACAGAAAATGCCCTCTCCACTGAAGCAGTTGCAACCGGTAAAACTAAAGACAATGTAATGAGCAAATATACATAATTGAATACTTGATGCATCCTTGTCTCCACCATTTTTTTTGCAAGATCACCAATCCCTTGCAATTGAGAGAAATCACCCATGGAACGCACATAATGAATATAAATCTCAAGTTGATCTTCAAGTGCCAAACGATCCTCATCCGAAAAGTCTTGAGGATAAAATTGAGCAAGACGAAGTAACTTTGATTTATCAAAAGCTACAAATGAATCTTTCGGACTCAAACATGCCAAACAAATAAGCAACTCGGTATTTACCTCATTAAAGCGATCCTCTAACTCCGTAATTTGCTCATCAATGACATAAATAAATAGCTCCACACGATAATGATGTCGATTTGTCTTTATTGGAGCATTACGCCTTGACCTCCCTGGAAGTATAAATGCATCTTCCATGTTAGGAACATAAATATGATGTTTTTCACAAAAAGAAGATACTTCATCAACTAATGCATCGAACCCATTATTCCTCATCCAATGTAGCTTTTCCTTGCATGATTTCACTAAAGCCATTGCATTAACAATTTCTTGATCTTTCCTTTGCAATGCTTGTGACAAATCATTTGTGAGTCCCAATATGACCTTCATCAAGAAAAGGTGAAACACAAACTCAAAACTCCGTATTTCTCTCATTAACTTATTTGCTTCACCCGCACTTTCATTGGGATTATCATCAATAACCATTTGAAGCACATGAACCACAGATGAAAACATAGAAATGATGCTAATCAAGGTACCATAGTGTGAGTTCCATCGTGTGTCACCGGCACGTTTGAGACTTGTTTCTTGATTTAAGCCTCGCCCCGTTATAAGACAATCATTTTCAAAAGCTATCACAAGCTCTTCTTGAAGTTGCCCTCTAAGTAAATCACGCCGCTTACAAGATGCTCCAACATGATTAACCACACTATTAGCCGTTGCAAAAAAAGAGGCAATGTCTATATTCTTCTTTGCTACGGCAACAAGAGCTAGTTGAAGTTGATGAGCAGAGCAATGAATATAATATGCACATAGCTCTTCTTGAAGTTGCCCTCTAAGTAAATCACGCCGCTTACAAGATGCTCCAACATGATTAACCACACTATTAGCCGTTGCAAAAAAAGAGGCAATGTCTATATTCTTCTTTGCTACGGCAACAAGAGCTAGTTGAAGTTGATGAGCAAAGCAATGAACATAATATGCACAAGGTTGTTCTCTCAATATCTTTGTTTTAAGGCCATTCAACTCACCTCTCATATTGCTAGCACCATCATAACCTTGTCCTCGTAGCTTGGAAATGCTCAAACCATTGTGAGAAAAGAATATGTCAATAGCATCCTTTAGTGAACTTGAAGTAGTGTCGGTAACATGTTGGATACCCACAAATCTTTCAATTACATGCCCGGAGTCATCCACATAACGCAACACCATAGCCATTTGCTCTTTCACCGATACATCACGTGCTTCATCCACCAATATTGAAAAGAATCTATCTTTTAGACCATCCATGATAGCATCAAGTGTTTCAAGGGCACATGAATTCACAATTTCTTTTTGAATGCAAGGAGCTAGTAATTTGAGATTCCCCGGAGCATTTTCCATCACAACTTCTTTAACTTTATCATCATTATCTGCAAGGAATTGTAATAGCTCCAAGTAATTTCCCCTATTACTTGAAGTGGCACTTTCATCATGGCCACGAAAAGCAAGACCTTGTCGCAATAAAAACTTAGTGCACTTGATTGATGCTATCAAACATGTGCGATAGGCCTTACGAGCTTGGTCGGAGTGTTTGCTCACTGCCGTTTCAATATGTGTAGCATGATTCATCAAATTTGTAGCAGCTTCTCTAGCCTTATTATGAACACTCCCAACCGGTCCAATATGCATCTTAAATCTTTCTCTCCCTTTCTTCCAATTCTTAAATCCATCTCCAGTGAAAGCTTCACTACCCACTTGTTCAAAATTGGTTTTAAAGAGATAGCAATAGAGACAAAATGCCGCATCTTTAGATATACTATACTCCAACCAATCAAACTCATCAAACCATTGGGGAATGAAGCGTCGATTAATTCCCGACATATTAGTTATCGGGAAATTATGACCTCTAGGTTGACAAGGTCCTTTTTGTAGATATGATCTTCGGACCTCATCTCTCATATTAGCATCATAATCTATCATTCGAGTTCTTAATCCAGGATCCGCTTGAAGATTACCCAAAACACCATCTGACTGACTTTGTCTTGAACTTGGAGTTCTTGAACTACCAACAGTATTTGAACTATCAACATTATTCGAACTACCGGAACCCGATGATGACTTTCTCTTAAAAAACCGTTCCATAATACTTCTACATATACAAAATATTCAAAATAAATACTCACAATTTAAACAAACCATCAACATAATAAAAATAAACATGAATTGGATATTCAATTAAATTAAATATATTCTACATATACAAAAACTTGCAAAATAAAACTCACAATTTAAACTAACCATCAACATAATCAAAATAAACATGAATTGGATTTCAATTAAATTAAATATATTCTACATATACAAAAACTTGCAAAATAAAACTCACAATTTAAACTAACCATCAACATAAAAATATATCATATATAGGGTTTAGAACTTACTTGAATTGTGAAATTTCACAATGACAATTAGCAAATATAAAGAGAGTAGCTGGCAGCACCACCACCACAGCGACGACGACGGCAGCACAAAGACACCTCAATGGCGGCAGCAAGGGAGGAGATGGAGTTGAAGGCTTGGGGGGGATTGAGTTTGGAACTTAGGGTTGGAGGAGGAGAAAACAAAAGAAATTTGGGGTTTTTTGAATGAAAAAATCGATATGTGTCTGTGGAGAAGGAGAGGCTGAGAGGGATACGCTGGGCATTCTTTTTTTTGTTCAGACCTGGGCCAAAACGACGTCGTTTTGCCCAGGTTGTTTTAAAAAAAACAGGCGCACCAGAGCAGCCTCTCCTCCTTCTTCTTTAGTTGTTCTGTTCCTTCTTCTTTCAAGCATTCCGTCGACCACGTGGTGTGCAGCTCCAAGAGGTCGCGCCCGCAGCTCCAAGGGACCTCCAAGGCTATTTCCATGGCTTCCAAGAGGTCGTGCTACCCCGACGACCCCACTGTGGCTCCGCCTCTGCTTATATCGGGGATACCATTGTGGCGTTATCTCAAGCCAATAACACAATGTCATGTTTTTTAACTTTATGATATAAAAATGTGTGATAGATTTGGGATGTCACCATGGTGGCATCCTCGTTGTATGTAAATTATTCTTGCTAAGAAGTTCTAATGCTACGTCCAAATTGGAGGGCAGCCAAGGCCTCTAATTTCTTTCAACTTTATTTGACTCGTAGTATGAATAGCAAAACAAGAGTAATTCGTAATCGCAATCAGACTTCTTATTTTGATTCCAATTACGGATTAGTAAATATGTCAATTGTGGAAACGAAAAGTGAAAGATGAATGACTTAGAGCATCTCCGACCGATATGTCAAAAGTGCCATATAGATATTTAACGGCTAGAAATAACATCTTACACCACTCCAACCGAATTGTCAAAGTTGATGTGGAATGAAGGCTGGAGGTTCAGCTGTTACTTTTGACATTCCAAAAGCAAGATGTCAAATGAATATTTTATTATTTTTTTAAAGATAGCTAGCTGTTACGTTCATTTATTATTTTCCTTTTTTATTATTTTTCTTCTTTATCTTAAATGATTTGACTATTACAATAATTATTTATTTGACATATCGGATGAAGTGTAAAACTGTGTAAATGACAAATTGCCACATCAGCCATCAAATTTAAATTTGATGTTTGGTATTTGACATCTCCCTTGGAGATGCTTTTAGAAGTCCAAATAATAAGTAACGATAATGCGGTTTGTTGACTTTTTAAAAACTTGTTTGTTTCATTGTATGTAAGAAAGTTGGAAACCACACCGTTGTTACTTATATAGTTGTTTTCGTTTTGGGTTACCTCTTTACTTATATAGTTGGTATACAAACTAAAGTTCTTTTACTGGTCAACGTTTCAGCACTACTCTACAAAGTTATATGTTTTTATTTTTTGCTCATAAAAACACTTTTGTGTTAATATTGTTGTCATATAATTGCGTAGTATAGATTTTGTATGATTATGAAATGTATAATAATAGTAATCCGGTTGAAACATATATAGTTAATTGATATATGTTAAGTGGAGATAAATATATTTATAAACTGAACATTAGAGTAAATGTTTTTAAAAAAAAATAAAAATTAAACTTCGATGTGTGCAGGTTGCTTAAAGATTTGCAAAATGAATTCAATTTATACGTAGACATGTTAAAGTTGCTCATGTTTGAATTTTAAGGATTGGAATGTATTGGAGCATAAATGTGGTAGCTTATAACGTAGTTACCAAATAATTCAACCAACTTCGGTTTTTTTATTGATTTAATTTCAAGTTTTGTTGTCTTTGTTTTTGCCAAAGTTAGGAAGGGGGATGATGGTTTTTCTCTCACACACATTGTTAGTGTGAATTATGGCCCATTGACTTCCCTTGCACGATAAGGTTTCCCGTATTAATTGTAATTGATTTCTCTTTATTTCTGATTTCCTACTGTAAATAGAATTAGGAATTTATTGCTTTACTTGGCCACCAAGGCTTTATTGTATTATATAGCCAAGAGCAGCAATCCTAACCCTAGCCCAAAACACCAAACGATGGGGGACCAAGATTTGTTCCCCCCCCCCCCCATTAAGGGAGTATCATCAACTCCACCCTGATTTCTCACCCGAACCTAGAAGAATTGACGTTCTAGATGACCCAATTTTTGAAACCCAGAACCAGACCGCATAGACCCAAACTTAGATCTTGATACCGACTCAGACCCCAGCCCCAACACAATCAATCACTTATGAATCTTTCGATGCACATATCGACATTAAGTTGGATGGCACCAACTATGCCCTATGGTCCCAAGTTGTAGTTATGTATATCTCGAGCAAAGACAAGTCAGTATATACTAATGGAGAACTCCCACCTCCTCCTCAGACAAACCCGACGTTCACTCGATGACGAACATAGAATTCGATTGTAAAAGGATAGCTAATAAATTCTATAAAGCCTAGATTGATTAACAATTTTATTCGATTTCCCATGGCAAAAGCAATGTAGGATGTGATTACCAGTGGCACAACCTACTTTGATGGAACTAACACTTTTCAAGTGTATGACCTTAAATGATGAGTCTCTAGATGCGTCAAGTAGGCAGCTCTATTGAAACCTACTAAAATAATTTCCAAGGTTTGTGAAGTGAGGTAGACTTTCGTCATCCAAATATGATATAGTATGAATCTGATATATACCTGGCAATATCTTATATGACCCGTTAACACGACACAAATTCCCAAAAAAAATTTAGTATTTGGGTCCGAGTTATCGTGTCATGTTACTATTGTGTTGACCCGTTGGCCACTCGACAAGTTATCGTATCGTGTCAATTTGCGAATACCCATAATCTTAAGGGCATTTTTGTAAATTCATATTTTTTTTTCCTTTTTTCTTCTTCTCTTTTGTCTCTTCCTCCCTCATTCCCCTACTTCTCTGTCTCTCTCTCTCTCTCTCTGTAGGTTCCTTGGTCTGCTAGGAGATCATCAAATCATAGAAGACATTGCTGCTAGCGAATCCCACGACTGAGATGATGAAGAAAGAGTCACTCAAGTTGTCTTCTTCAAGGTCCAAATTCATTGTTTGTTTTCAATGACTCTGACGTAACGTAAACAAGGTTTCCGTAAACGATTGAGATGATGAAGAAATATGAGGAGCATGAGAGGAGAAGAGATGGCGGTGGTGATGAGTTCTATGACCTTTTTTTTTTTTTTTGGGTGCACTGGTTGATTTTTTAATTGTATTTCTTCTTTTTTCTTTATAAAAAAATTCTTAACAAGTTATCGTGTCGTGTCGTGTCGTGTCTTATAATTAGCGAATTGTAACGGGTCGTGTTCATGTTTGACATTTTCAACTTGTTTTCTTATCGTGTCGTATCGTGTTAACCCGTTAAGAAAAGTGGGTTGACACGAAAATAACGTGAACACTGCAAAAATGACACGAATGCCAAGTCTATTCAAAAGGTACAACGACATTATTCAAGAAGATCAGGTTTACACATTTTTGGTTGGATTGGATACTCGACTTGACAAGGCTCGAAGTGATGTACTACAAATGAATATGTTTCCCACAGTGGAGCATCCTTATGCGTATGTTCATAGGGAAGATCTTTGACAAGTTGTAATGATGGGAACCTAGGAGCCAACTGAAGCAGGTTTGGAGGAAAAAAGTGCACATCGACTGGTTGGTCCAGACATACTCCACCTCCTACTGCCCTTGGTGGCCTAGGCTTGACCTCATTGGAGGCCTAAATATTTTTTTAGTACAAGGGGCTAAAGTTAATTTTCGACATTACAAAGCTATGTCAAATTGAGGACAAACCTATCAATTTAGCCACTTATAAACCCTGACTCATATAGGATTTCCCTTCACTTTGTCCATTCTTCACCTTAACATCCTGCTGAGACCTAAAAAATCTCAACGAATGTCCAGGTATATTTTAGGTCTAATGCATTATGGTGCTATAAAATAAGCCTAGCTAGGGTACACAAAGGCCTATCAAATAAGGCTAGGAATTGCCTACACAAGCTTTGATATTTATGTCATGCCAAATGACACTACAATTTGGCACATGGGGAGGTCATGGTATGGATTTACTAATTTTACATGCAAACCTGTGAAGTTTAACAATTTCACATGCCCAAGCTCACCTAGCCCATTTCTTTGTCAAACATTATCTAACACAACTATAATTCACAGCAATACAACGTAGCTCAAGCGTAAGCACGCAAATAACAAGCAACACCAAGTGACTCCCATTAGTGCCAAACCACCCGACAAGCTTAAGTGTGCCCAAGCCACATACATGCATGGGGCTTGCTGAGTAGGTTGTGGTGTGAATGGGTATGAGGGTTCATAACGCCTATTGAAAGTTCAAAAGGTGGATGTTATAGGCTACTTAGGGGCACCAAAACTCAAGCCCACTTTTTAAAGATAAACTACATACATAGGGTAAGTAAAAGAGAGAATCCCATCACCTCATTCATTTGAGATTGAACCATCATTGACCAAAACCTAACTAGGACCTTTAAAATCCAATTCGCTTAGATACATGAGTTGTTGGAAGAGATAAAGTCTCTAACGTGTCTTATGTCTGACCAGCAACTTCACTCTATTTACCTCTACAAGCTCTTGTAAGAAATGAGGATAGATGTGAGGGTCTTTTT